CATTTTGTCACCAAATATTTCAATTTAGCAACAAAATATTCAGCAAATATGACGAAATTATTTGTTTGGTATTATATCATTAGTGACAAAATTATTCGTCATAAAACTAATAACGACATTTTTTATTTCGTCACTAATAAAAATTAAAAAATTTGAGAATGGGGGTACTATTTTCTTTCGAAATTTTTTCTTTTCAGTAACAATTCTCTGCGCATTTCAATAACCTGTTCGATAAATATCTATTACAAATCAATATAAAAATCTGTTCATTTTCATAAACATCACAATCGAATTTCAGCACTATCCACAAAAATACAATATGAACTGCATGCGGATTATAAACATGTCTCCTAATATCTACAAACAACGTCTACTAATATCCACAAAAATATCATATCAACCGCATGCGGATTACCAAACACATCTCCTAATATCTAACAACAAAACATGTCTACTAATATCAACAAAAATAAAATATCAATGGCGGATTATCCAACATGCCCTGTAATACCAACAAAAATATAAAATTTATAACGAAACCAAAATACATGTAAGGTAATATGAACAAAAACACAAAATGAGCTACCATCTGCCCTCCAAATTACCAAACATGTCCATATCAAATCTCGAATCTGCAAAAAAATGAAACACAAAAAAGAAAAAGAAAAAAAAAATGCAAGTTAGATAATTATTATCTTATCCATAAAATATACAATTTAACATGCATTTTTCGAATTAGTTTTCAAATCGGGAGTCCGGTGCAAGTTCCGTAAGTTTCCACAACTTACATTAGTCCCTCCCGACGTGTTTGAGGTGTTCCCCAGGCCGTCCCGTGGTTGTTGCACGATTTTGACCCCCGAAGGTCTATTTTCAAGCTTAAGTGTGAAAAAGTGCAATTTTGGACTTAGTTTTCAAACCGGAAGTCCCGTGTTAGTTCCGTAAGTTTCCACAACTCACATTGGTCCCTCCCATGGTGTTTGAGGTGTTTCCCGGGCCGTCTCGTGGCTGTTGTACGATGTTGGCCTCCGATGGCCTATTTTCAAGCTTAAGTGTGAAAAAGTGCATTTTTGGACTTAGTTTTCAAACTGGGAGTCCCGTGCTAGTTCCGTAAGTTTCTACAACTCACATTGGTCCCTCCCGAGGTGTTTGAGGTGTTCCTCGGGCCGTATCGTGGCTGTTGCACGATTTTGGCCTCAGATGGCCTATTTTCAAACTTAAGTGTGAAAAAGTGCAATTTTCGACTTAGTTTTCAAATCGGGAGTCCGATGCTAGTTCCGTAAATTTTCACAACTCACATTGGTCCCTTCCGAGGTGTTTGACGTATTCCCCGGGCCGTCTCGTGGCTGTTGCACGATTTTGACCCCCGATGGCCTAGTTTGAAGCTTAAGTGTGAAAAAGTGCAATTTCGACTTAGTTTTCAAACTGGGAGTCCCGTGCTAGTTCCGTAAGTTTTCACAACTCACATTGGTCCCTCCTGAGGTGTTTAAGGTGTTCCCTGGGCCGTCCCATGCCTGATGCATAATTTTGGCCTCCGAAAGTCTATTTTCAAGCTCAAGTGTGAAAAAGTACATTTCTGGACTTAGTTTTCAAACCGGGAGTCCCATGCTAGTTCTGTAAGTTTTCACAACTCATATTGGTCCCTCTCAAGGTGTTTGAGGTGTTCCCCGGGCCGTCTTGTGGCCGTTGCACGATTTTGGCCTCCGGTGGCCTAGTTTGAAGCTTAAATGTGAAATAGTGCAATTTTCGACTTAGTTTTCAAATCGAGAGTCCCGTGCTAGTTCTGTAAATTTTCACAACTCACATTGGTCACTCCCAAGGTGTTTGACGTGTTCCCGGGCCGTCTCGTGGCTGTTGCACGATTTTGGCCCCCGATGGCCTAGTTTCAAGCTTAAGCGTTACAAAAGTTCATTTTTTGACTTAGTTTTCAAACCGGGAGTCCCGTGCTAGTTCCGTAAGTTTCCACAACTCACATTGGTCCCTCTCAAGGTGTTTTACGTGTTCCCCGGGCCGTCCCATGGCTATTGCATGATTTTGGCCTCCGGTAGCCTGTTTTCAAGCTTAAGTGTGAAAAAGTGCATTTTTCGACTTAGTTTTTAAACCGGGAGTCCCGTGCTAGTTCCGTAACTTTTCATAACTCACATTGGTCCCTCCCGAGGTGTTTGAGGTGTTCCCTGAGCCGTCCTGTGTCTGATGCACGATTTTGGCCCCCGAAAGTCTATTTTCAAGCCTAAGTGTAAAAAAGTGCATTTCTGGACTTAGTTTTCAAACTGGGAGTCGCGTGCTAATTCCGTAAGTTTCCACCACTCATATTGGTCCCTCCCGAGGTGTTTGAGGTGCTCCCCAAGCTGTCTCATGGCATTTGCACGATTTTGACCTCCGATGGCCTATTTTCAAGCTTAAGTGTAAAAAAGTTTATTTTTCGACTTAGTTTTCAAATCGGGAGTCCCATGCTAGTTCCATAAGTTTCCACAACTCACATTGGTCCCTCCCGAGGTGTTTGAGGTGTTCCCCGGGCCGCCCCGTGCCTGTTGCACGATTTTGGCCCCCAAAGGTCTATTTTCAAGCTTAAGTGTGAAAAAGTGCATTTCTGGACTTAATTTTCAAACCGGGAGTCCTGTGCTAGTTCCGTAAGTTTTCACAACTCACATTAGTCCCTCCCAAGGTGTTTGTGGTGTTCCCCAGGCCGTCTCATGGCATATGCACGATTTTGGCCTCCAATGACCTATTTTCAAGCTTAAGTGTGAAAAAATTCATTTTTCGACTTAGTTTTCAAACCGGAAGTCCCGTGCTAGTTTCGTAAGTTTCCACAACTCATATTGGTCCCTCCCAAGGTGTTTGAGGTGTTCCCCAGGCCGTCCCGTGCCTGTTGCATGATTTCGGCCCCCGAAGGTCTATTTTCAAACTTAAGTGTGAAAAAGTGCATTTCTGGACTTAGTTTTCAAACCGGGAGTCCTGTGCGAGTTTTGCAAGTTTTCACAACTCACATTGATCCCTTCCAAGGTGTTTGCGGTGTTTCCTGAGCCGTCTCATGGGTGTTGCACGATTTTGGCCTCCGGCGGCCTATTTTCAAGCTTAAGTGTGAAAAAGTACATTTTTGGACTTAATTTTCGAACCAGGAGTCCCGTGCTAGTTTTGTAAGTTTTCACAACTCACATTCGTCCCTCCTGAGGTGTTTGAGGTGTTCCCCGGGCTGCCTCGTGGTATTTGCACGATTTTGACCTCCGATGGCCTATTTTCAAGCTTAAGTGTAAAAAAGTTCATTTTTCGACTTAGTTTTCAAATCGGGAGTCCCGTGCTAGTTTCGTAAGTTTCCACAACTCACATTGGTCCCTCCCGAGGTGTTTGAGGTGTTCCCCGGGCCGCCCCATGCCTGTTGCACGATTTTGGCCCCCGAAGGTCTATTTTCAAGCTTAAGTTTAAAAAAGTGCATTTCTGGAATTAATTTTCAAACCGGGAGTCCTGTGCTAGTTCTGTAAGTTTTCACAACTCACATTGGTCCCTCCCAAGGTTTTTGAGGTGTTCCCCAGGCCGTCTTGTGGCATATGCACGATTTTGGCCTCCAATGACCTATTTTCAAGCTTAAGTGTGAAAAAATTTATTTTTCGACTTAGTTTTCAAACCGGAAGTCCCGTGCTAGTTTCGTAAGTTTCCACAACTCACATTGGTCCCTCCCAAGGTGTTTGAAGTGTTTACCGGGCCGTCTCGTGGCTGTTGCACGATTTTGGCCTCCAATGGCCTATTTTCGAGCTTAAGTGTGAAAAAGTGCATTTTTGGACTTAGTTTTCAAACCGGGAGTCTCGTGCTAGTTCTGTAAGTTTTCACAACTCACATTGGTCCCTCCCGAGGTGTTTGAGGTGTTCCCTAGGCCGTCCCGTGCCTGTTGCACGATTTTGGCCACCGAAGGTCTATTTTCAAGCTTAAGTGTGAAAAAGTGCATTTCTGGACTTAGTTTTGAAACCGGGAGTCCCGTGCTAGTTTCGTAAGTTTTCACAACTCACATTGGTGCCTTCCGAGGTGTTTGAGGTGTTCCCCAGGCCATCTCGTGGTTGTTGCATGATTTTGGCCTTCGATGGCCTATTTTTAAGCTTAAGTGTGGAAAAGTGCATTTTTTGACTTAGTTTTCAAACCGGGAGTGCCGTGCTAGTTCTGTAAGTTTTCAAAACTCACATTGGTCCCTCCCGAGGTGTTTGACGTGTTTCCCGAGCCGTCTCATGACTGTTGCACGATTTTGGCCCCCGATGGCCTAGTTTGAAGCTTAAGTGTGAAAAAGTGCAATTTTCGACTTAGTTTTCAAACCGAGAGTCCCATGCTAGTTTCGTAAGTTTCCAAAACTCACATTGGTCCCTCCCGAGGTGTTTGATTTTTAAATTTCGTGTTTGGTTTGATTTTCAAATTATACTGAAACATGAAAACACAACATAAAAGTAGAGGAGGGTAAATTCAAAATATATACCTTATATATGAACTTTAAAATTTCATGTTTGGTTTGATTTTCATATTGATTTGATCTTAAAAATGCCTTGGCGTGTGATTGTAGCCAGTATGGCAATTGGGTTGAAGAAGCTTTGTCCATGCCTTTGGTGTCACTACAATTAGACTGTTAAAATTAATGCCATATTTACATTAGATACATTGGATACATTGCATGCATTGAGTTCATACATTCTTTGTATTCATGTATTTTTATATTCATGTATTTCATATTTATTAAGTACATTGTCTAGATTATATTCATGTACCTAATTAATTACAAGGTTGTTTAGGTTCATGGATCTTATTCATTGAACTTATGTATAACCTTCTCTATATAAAAGGATGTAAGCCTATGAGCAAGATATATGAATCAATAAGGGATAAAAATTCAATACAAAATATAGTTCATTCTAAAGAAAGTTTTATCAAAAGCTAACATAAGTGGTATCAGAGCTTTGGTTGGGTCAAGAGCAAGCTGGGCGTAGAGATCGGATAAACAAGCCCCGAAGAAGAACAAATCGACGTCCATGGCGAATCCCAACAACCAAAATGTATCCACTCCTATCTTTAATGGTGAAAATTTTGATTTTTGGTATGTGAAAATGAGAACTATTTTTGTCTATACGGAGCTTTGGGATCTTGTTGAGAATGGGTTCGAGGAACCTGAAGAAGAAGAAGCTTTGACAAATCCCCAAAAGAACCAATTAAAAGAGCAAAAGAAGAAGGATTCAAAGGCTCTCTCTTTTATTCAACAAGGAGTTTCAGAAGCAATCTTTCCAAGAATTATCAATGCAACAAAAGCGAATGAGGCATGGGATATTCTTCAGAAAGAGTATAGAGGCAACTTGAAGGTAAGAACCATCAAACTTTAGTCATTGAAAAGAGATTTTGAAAATTTAAAGATGAAGGATATGGAATTGTTGAAGGATTATTTTTCTAGGGTTATGGAACTTGTAAACCAAATGAAAATTTATGGGGATAATATTACTAATCAAAGAGTTGTTGAGAAAATTTTGATAAGTTTGCCGGAGAAATACAATCCCATTGTTGCTGTCATTGAAGAAACTAAAGATCTTGCTGATTTGAGTATTAAAGAATTGATGGGTTCAATTAAAGCATTTGAGCAAAGGTTGAGTAGGCAATCTGAAAAGTCAATTAAAAGTGTCTTTCAATCCAAGCTCAATGTTAGTACCTCTAATTCCCAAGGAAGAGGAAGAGGAGGAGGAAGAAATGCAACCGGAAGAGTAAGAAATGCAAGAGGAAGAGGAAGGTCTAATTTTCAAAGAAAAGAAAATGAAGAGTCCACTCAACAAAAGTGTGGAATTTGCAACCGAAGCAATCATGTTGATAAAGATTGTTGGTTTCGAGGAAAGCCAAAATGTTACAATTGCAACAAATTTGGGCATGTCAAGAAGGATTGCCTAGTCAAGAGCACTCAACAAGCTAATTTTTCTGAGGAGCAAGAAAGTGAAGGGCACATGTTCTATGCTTGTCACAAGGCATCGGATCAAACCAAGGATGTATGGTTTCTCGATAGCGGATGTAGAAATCACATGACAGGAGATGAAAGCATTTTTGTAAAAATGGATGCTTCCTCCAGTCCTCAAGTAAAAATGGAGAATGGTGCCTTAGTCTAAACAAAAGGAAAATGTACTATTGCTATAGAAACCAAGATGAGTACAAGATTCATTTCCGATGTTCTCTTAGTTCCAGACTTAGAGCAAAATTTGCTAAGTGTTGGACAACTTATGGAGCATGGATATCTTGTTCACTTTGAAGACGATTTTTGCAAAATTTTTGACAAAGGGGGGAAAAGCCAAGTTGTAGCACAAATCAAGATGGAGAAGAATAGAAGTTTTCCTCTCATTTTTCGGTATAGCAAAAATGGGGCTTTGAAGATGGATGTGATTGATAATTCATGGCTTTGGCATAGAAAATTTGGGCACTTGAATTTTCAAAGCTTGAAGCATCTACAACAAAACAATATGGTTTTTGGGTTGCCAACCATTCATGAAGTGCAACATATTTGTGAAGGTTGTGCACTTGGAAAGCATCACTGGGAGTCATTTCCAAAGGAGAAAGCATGGAGATCTAAAGCACCATTGGAGCTTGTCCATACCGATGTGTGCGGACCTATGGATACACCAACTCATGGAGGTAACAAATACTTTATTATCTTTGTTGATGATTTTACTAGAATGACTTGGGCGTATTTCATGAGACAAAAGAGTGAAGTTTTCTCTATCTTCAAGAAATTTCAAAATCTTGTTAAAGACAAAGTGGTTGTTTGATGAAAGTATTGAGAAGTGATAGAGGCGGAGAATACAACTCAAATGAGTTTATGAAATTTTGTGAAGATAATGGAATGGAAAGGCAATTGACTATTGGGTACACTCCACAACAAAATGGTGTGGCGGAAAGAAATAATAGAACCATAGAGGAGATGTCCAAGTCTATGCTACATGAGAAGGGGCTACCCAAAACTTTTTGGGGTGAGGCCGTGTATACATCAGTTTACTTGATGAATAGATGTCCTACAAAAGCTCTTAAGGACAAAACTCCATTTGAAGCTTGGAGTGGAAAGAAACCATCGGTGAATCACTTGAAGGTGTTTGGTTCCATTTGTTATGCTCATGTTCCAAAAGAAGTGAGGCACAAGCTTGATGAAAATAGTAAGAAATGCATCTTTGTGGGTTATAGCTCAAAATCCAAAGGCTGTAGACTCTTCAGTTTGGATCAAAAGAAGGTGATTATTTGTAGAGATGTTCTCTTTGATGACTAGGCGTCTTTTGATTGGAAGGAAAAGAAAGTCCAAGATCAAAGCATTGCTTTCAATGAAGAATCGGAAAGTCTACAAGTTGAAGATGTTGCAACTCTTGAATCTCCACAAAGATTGTCACCAATTGCTAGTTCACAATTTTCTCCAAGTTCAAGTTTAAGTTCAAGTTCTTCATCTCCAAGTTCAACTCCAAGAAATATTAGGAGTCTTAGTGATGTGTATGCAAGATGCAATTTATGCATTGTTGAACTTGAAAATTTTGAAGAGGCAATTAGAGATGAAGCATGGAAGAAAGCAATGGAAGATGAAATTCATGTGATTGAGAAGAACAAGACTTGGGAGTTAGTGGAGAAACCGAAAGAAAAAGAAATAATTGGTGTGAAGTGGATTTTCAAAACAAAGTTCAATCCGGATGGCTCTATTCAAAAGAACAAAGCAAGACTTGTGGCAAAAGGGTATTCACAACAACCTGGAATTGATTTCCAAGAAACTTTTGCTCCTGTGGCTCGACTTGATACAATTAGAGCTATCATTGCTTTGGCAGCTCAAAAGGGTTGGTTCTTGCACCAACTTGATGTAAAATCAGTATTTTTGAATGGAAAATTAGAAGAAGAGGTGTATGTTGATCAACCTCAAGGCTTTGTTGTCAAAGGCAAAGAAGATAAAGTGTACAAGTTGAAGAAGGCGTTATATGGCCTAAAGCAAGCACCCCGGGCATGGTATAGTGAAATTGATGCTTACTTCAATGAAAAGGGTTTTCAAAGAAGCAAAAGTGAGCCAACTTTGTACATCAAGAGGCAAGGTACAACCGGTATTGTCATTGTTTCACTTTATGTTGATGATTTGGTTTTTACCGATAGTGACGAAAAATTGATTGAAGATTTTAAAAGGGAGATGATGAAGAAATATGAAATGAGTGATTTGGGGCTATTGCATCATTTTTTAGGCATTGAAATCCACCAAAACAATGGTGGTGTTTTTATTTGCCAAAAAAAGTATGCTCAAACACTTCTTGAGAAATTCCAAATGAAAAATTGCAAATCAGTTGCTACTCTCTTGATTGTGAATGAAAAGTTGTCAAAGAAAGATGGAAGCAAAGAAGCTGAAGCGTCTTGTTATAAAAGTTTTGTTGGAAGTTTGTTGTACTTAACTGCTACAAGACCGGACATCATGTATGCTACAAGTTTATTGTCTCGGTTCATGCACAGTCCAAGCCAAATTCATTTTGGGGTTGTAAAAAGAGTGTTGAGATACGTTCAAGGTACACTTGATTATGGAATTTTTTATGAGAAATTTCTTGATGCAAAGTTAATTGGATTTTGTGATAGTGATTGGGCCGGATGTGTTGATGATATGAGAAGCACTTCTGGGTATGCATTTTCTCTTGGATCGGGTGTAATTTCATGGTCATCCAAGAAACAACAAACTGTGGCACAATCATCTGCTGAAGCCGAATATATTTCAACATCATTGGCAACTACACAAGCAATTTGGCTAAGAAGAATTTTGGATGATTTTGGTGAGAAACAAGGTGAAGCTACTCCAATTATGTGTGATAATAAGTCTGCTATTGCTATGGCAAAGAATCCTGTCTACCATTCTCGTACCAAACACATTGCTATCAAACATCATTTCATTAGAGAAGCTGTGGAAGATGATGAGATTCGAATCAAGTATTGCAAGACTGAAGATCAAGTTGCGGACATCTTCACCAAAGCTCTACCAAGGGACAAATTTGAATTTTTTAGAGAAATGTTGGGTGTCACACAATATGACATTAAGGGGGAGTGTTAAAATTAATGTCATATTTACATTAGATACATTGGATACATTGCATGCATTGAGTTCATACATTCTTTGTATTTATATATTTTTATATTCATGTATTTTATATTTATGAAGTACATTGTCTAGATTATATTCATGTACCTAATTAATTACAAGGTTGTTTAGGTTCATGGATCGTATTCATTGAACTTATGTATAACATTCTCTATATAAAAGGATGTAAGCCTATGGACAAGATATATGAATCAATAGAGAGAAAAATTCAATACAAAATAATAGTCATTCTTTATCAAAAGCTAACAATATGCTTGCTAGAAATGGAACTAAAGATTGTATCACTTGCAGAAAAGAATCTTTTATATAGTGAACGCAACCTCACTAGTTGGCTCAACTACAAAATCCTATCAACCCAGAAGTATAGACCTCAAAATGTTGGTTTTAGATAAATTGCAACCTAGCTAAAGATATCCTGTAATACAACCATTTCATTTTAAACGGCTTTGGACAAAAATGATTTTGTGATACTCAAACATATTAGGCAAAGATTAAATTCCTACAAATAACAATTCCAATCAACTTGAGTCATGTTAGTAATTATATTAGTTTTGTTATATTCAAATTAGTTAGGATTGGTTTTCACCAGATAAGGTTGTGTATTGTTTTTCAAATGTAATCCATTTATTTTTTAACAACAACGTATACATATATAGCGCATATCCAAATTCAATGGATGAGTTATGGAACATTTGGGAATTTCCGAAGGGAAAGAGTTCGACAAGGTACGGAAGCAAATTCACGACGGTGGGAAGCAGGCCTGAAAATTGACATTCCTGAATTTCACGGCAGTGTTCAACCCGAAGAATTCTTGGATTGGCTTTTTGCTGTTGAAGAGGTTCTTGATTTCAAGGAGGTTCCGGAGAACAAACGAGTTTCCTTGGTGGCCACACGCTTCAGGGGAAGAGCAGCGGCTTGGTGGCAACAAATAAAGTTAACTCGAACCAGACAGGGGAAGAGTAAGATTGCTTCTTGGGAGAAGATGAAGAAACATATGCGTATGGCGTTCCTTCCTCATAACTATACACGCATGATGTACCAACAATTGCAGAATTTACGGCAAGGGACGAAGACGATCGATGAATATACCACTGAATTCTATCAATTGGTGTCACGTAATGACCTTGCTGAAAACGAAGACCAACTTGTTTCTAGGTACATCGGGGGATTGCAGGAACAATATCAAGATACCTTGAATTTATTTGATCCCTATTCTATTTCTGAAGCACACCAGAGAGCTATACAATTAGAAAAAAGGTCAAAGCGTCGCTCAGGAGTTACGGGGTGGCCAAGTGGAAACACTAGTGGCAACCGTAATCTGCCCCCTACAAACCGAAATACGAGTACGAATCTACCAGGGGCAAGGTGGGCACCACCCCAAATTGATACGGCTGGTAAACCACCAGGAGGACAGTCAAACAGGAACCCTGGTACTAGTGGTGGGATGCGTTGCTTCAAGTGCGGGGAAGTTGGTCATCGCGCTGCAGATTGCAGAAAAAGTGATCGGATTGGCAAGGGCCTATTCATAGACAGCGAAGAGATTGTCGAAGATGGGACTAATGAAGTTCTGCAAGATACTACCAATGATTCCGAAGTTAGTATTTATGACAAGGAAGAACGAGTTGCCGGCGATGAGGGTCCTCTATTGGTTGTGCGCAGGGCTTGCTATACACCTCGAGAGGTTGAAGGGAATGGGTGGTTACGAAACAACATCTTTCAATCCACGTGTACCATTAGTGGGAAGGTGTGCAAGTTCGTAATTGATTCCGGAAGTTGTGAGAATGTCATTGCGGAGGACGCTGTAGCAAAATTGGGAATAAGTACAAGCCAACATCCCAACCCCTACAAACTGTCATGGCTTCAAAAAGGCAAGGAGGTAACAGTTTCCAAGCGTTGTTTAGTCACCTTATCTATTGGTTCTAATTACAGGGACAAGGTATGGTGTGATGTGGTTCAGATGGATGCTTGCCATATTTTATTAGGAAGGCCTTGGCAATTTGACCGCGACGTATTGCA